AGAAGTAAAGCCATGCTGTTATGTTGAGCTGTAGGGGACTCAGGTCAACAATTTCTGACATTGCCAGTGAAGCAGAAGACCCAATTCTATTATGGACTACTAGACTCTTTTAGAATATTTTGCTGAGTTTATACACCTATAATATTCAAATAACGGAAGTTAACAACAAAAAGGGGATGCAGATGAATGTCCATTTTGTATCTGTGTATTCAAATGGTTAGGATCGATATAGTTACATTCTCTAAATGAATAGATGGATTTGTTCTAATGGTGTTTGTAAGTAGGGTATCATGTCTGCATTTTGTACAGCAATTAACCACTAGGAAGAATGTATACAATGTGTTAATTATTGAAACTGTCCTACAAGTTTGGTTTGAATCTGTCTCATTGCTATTTGTTTCTCAATAAATTTATGGAAAAAAAGAACTAAAAAAATTGGGGTCCGAAAATTTAAAGACCCAATCCAGAAATGGACATCTGAGATGAACACATACTGCTCATAGGACAAAATTAAAGAAGCAAATAAATATATGAAAAAATGCTCCACATCAGTAGCCATCTGTGAAATGAAAATTAAAACAACACTAAGATAACATCTCACCCCAGAAAGAATGGCTATCATAAAGAAATCAACCAACAACAAATGTTAGAGAGGCTGTGGGGAAAAAGGAATCCTTCTCCACTGCTGGTGGGAATGTAGACTGGTGTAACCATTATGGAAATCAGGTAGATACTCCTTAAAAATAGGTTTTTAAATCCCATTCAAACCAGCTATCCCCTGCCTGGGAATATTCCCAGAGGACCTGAAAACATCTTATCATAGTGATATATATGCACCTATGTTTATAGAAGCACAATTTGTGATAGCCAAATCTTGGAAACAACCAAGATGCCCATTACCTGAGAAATGGATGAAAAAGATGTGGTATTTTTATACAATGGAGTTTTACTCAGCTATAAAGAATGATAAGCTCCATTGTTATTATTGTCTCATCTTTCCGATCTGTTCTTGCTTGGGTACAGGACATATTTTTTACAAGTTTGTATTACTTTTATGTATTATTCACATGGTCTATAGGATCTCACTACACAGATTGGAATTGTAGTGATTCTTACTGTTTTTCAGCCTCCCAAGAACTAGACTACTGATGCTCACCATCATGCTCAGTCTCAATCCCTGTCTCAGAGCTCTCTGGGGACATCAGCACAGCAAGTCAGGGATCAAATCCCTGGCCTCTGTGTCTGCCTAAGCAGGCAATTGAATCCACTGAGGTATCTGGCCAGCTCAGAAGAGTGTATTTTTAATGATATTTTATACAAATAAATTTTGCAAAACCTATTGGTCATATTTAAGAGAAAGATGTTTAATTCTCTTAGTGATAATTTAGTAGAAGTTGCTTCAGGGCTGGTGATTTTCTTTTGTAAGTAGTCTTTAGGATATTGTCATATGTGGTACTGAATTGAATGTATTGATAGTTCTGAAAGCCAGTATAAATCTTTATAGTAGAATTCAA